CCAGAATGCGACTTCAATCTCCCTAAGTTACATTKGAGAGGACGCTTTCTCCCAGTGGGGCTGCACCTGCCAAGCAGGTGTGGGGGGCATGAGGCCACCCCAGAGCAGGCTGGTGGCCTACTTTCTCAAACTGGAGATTCTGGGTGAGGCTCCCAAGGGGGCTTTCTGAGGACCCTGGCAGTTGATGTCCAGGGGAGRGGAGACATTGTAGGCATGAGGCCCCACAGGAGGGGTGGGGTTCTGTGATTGAGTTTCTGAGCACAGAGTTTACTGGCAGCAGACCCAGGGAGCCTGCCTGGATCCAGTGGCTGTCTTGCACAAGAACAGGAAAAGGATGGGAAAAGGAAAGTTGGGTTCTATGTTCAATCTGGGGAGAAGCAGCTCGRTTACTTCTCTGCCCTTTCTACAGAAGCATCAAGTTTACAGCCAGGTGAGAAACGAATGCAGTTTAGCTGGGCTRTGCGAGCCGGGGATCCTGCCAGTGGTGCCCGGCCAGGGAAGGGGTCGTTTTCATTTTCAGCACAAGGAGATTCAGGGTCTCTCTGTTCAACAGGAGCAGAAGTAGTTCTGGGCCCCTTTCAGGACTGTCAAAGGAGGCGAAAGCAACGTGTTCAAGATGTCATGAGACTTGGGTGGCAGCATAAAGAAGCAGGGACCCTGGCCAACGCTAGGGTCTATCTGGGGAGCTGTCTTATCCAACCAGAATGGTCAGATGGGCCAGGGGTGGCCACAGGCAAAAGACTGACCAAGGGAAGTAAATCRGTCCCCTGTAGGACATACTCAGCTGCCTCCTCCTTCCTCAGTGCCACAGATGCTCGCTGTTGACCGCTGGGAGGTGCTCGTGCTAAACCTCTGAGGGAAAATGAGATGTGCAGTTAGGTGTGGTACCTGCCGAAGGAAAGCTATTTACTAAACAGTGCAGTTTAATRTGAAGTGTAATATTACAAGATGCCATATGGATACACACACTGTGTATATGGACACGTGTGTGGGGGGTGTACATTCATTTCTACCTCATATGTAGAAAAAATATTGTGGACAGAAGTCCACCAAAAGTTTCCATTACTTTTCCCTGAGTGCTTTTCTATATTTTCCCGATATTCTATAGTAAATGTTTATAATAACCATAATAATAATAATAATGCCCCTTATGAAACAAGCAATGGGGTGCGAGGTGGCCCAAGGGCCTGGTGCATCTCCTCTTGCCCTGTGTGCTAGGGCGCCTCATCCCCCGCTGCCTGACTCTGAGAACAGCCCCTCCTCTGCCCACGCTGTGCTTGCCTTGGGCAGCGATCCGCATCTGTGGTCTCCATGACTATGGACAGCTGTCACTCTTAATTCCAGCTCCATCCAAGACCTCTGTCCTCAGCTCTTGACTGGAGTTCCAGCCAGTGACCCAGATGCTCCCAGGTGTCCGGGAGCCTTCAGAGTCAGCGTGGCTTGCTTCCCCCTCTCGGGGGCAGGCTGGTTGGCACAGGCCCAGCCTCACGCCTCCTGGGACCTGTTTGGACCTCTCTCCACACCTCCCCTCCGTGTTCCCCAGCTCAGGTGTCAACCTTCAGTCCCCTCCCAGGTCAGCCAGTCCCTGGTGGGGCATACTCAGCTTCTTCCGTGGCTTTCACCCAGGGCCTCCTCCTGGTCAGTGGTGGGTCCTGTGGCGGGGGACTGGTCAGATCCCGGCTTGCTTTGGAAAGATGTCCTGGCGTGTGGGTGGGCCAGGCAGGGGCCGCTGAGAGGCCTCGGGTCCCAGCCCTCCTCCTCCTGCCCTGGCGCCTGTTTTAATGCTGCAGGCTGGGGCGGAAGTGTTTCATCTTTCTCTCTCTCTTTTTTTTTTAGATTCTTTCGATTTTACTTTGAAAAACAAAAGAAAATAAAATTTTAAAACTACCTTCTCCAGGCTACAAAATCTTATCCCACTGATCTCTCCCTAACATCCCCGTTATTTCTTCCTGAGAGGTGATTCACAATTCGGAGCTCATTAGCAGGTGTAGGTGATTCACATGTTCCCCCCTGCTGCTGCCGATCGTCTGCTTAGGCGGTATTCTGTCTCACCTTAGCTGAAAATTTCTGCTGGTTTTTCCTAAACCTAAGGACAGACTTCAGGTTGTTTTTTATCGGTTAGGATAGCTGGAGACTAAATTGTATATAAACCCTTTATCAAGCAAATTTCTCACTGACTTTCACAGGGAGTGAAAGGGCCTATTTATGGGGTATCAGCCCTCCTCGTCCTGCCTAGGCAGGTGCCCTGGGGACACTGACCTATAAGATGTCCACTGGCAGCACACATCTCCACAAGGCAGCCTCAGCCCAGAGGTGGACTCCTGGTTTCTGGTGGGTGGGGAGGATGAGGCTCCTGGCTTTGTGAGGAGATGGTGACACCCACTTGTGCCACCTTTGCAGTTTCTCTGCCTTTGTCTTTCAAGCCACCCTCGTGATGCACAGTGACCTTCGCAGGACCGGGTCACSGAGATCATTCCTAAACAATCATCAAATGAGGATGTCTCCGAAGAAGGCACCTCTACCCAAGGGGAGCCGCTGGTCCTGGGTTCTGTGGGGCATAAGGAATGTCCTGCAGTGAATCCCACTGAGACAAAAGCYGGGAATGAGAATGAGTCCTTTCCTGAATCCCCTCACAGCAAGTAAACAGTGGACGTTGCTCTGTGTCATCTGGAATTTAGTATGGAGCATGGTACAGAAGGGGGCTCACAGCACTGTGACACAGGGACACAGCTGGCCTCTAGTAGGACAGCAAAAGCTTGTGGGCTACTTTGAGACTCTTTGAAAGCCCAAATACCTGGGTTTCCAGCTTTTGTGCAAAGTTAAGAGTGGCCCAAGACATCAGGGCTTGGGACACATCTTTTGCCAAGCTGCCTATTACCAAGGACGGTGCGGGGCAGCAGTGAAGCAAGACTCCCCTTGAAGGAGACAGGGAAGCACCCATACATCATGGCTTGCCCTCTCCCAGCCTGGGGCCCTACACAGAATGCTTTGCTTTTGCTGAGAGCTGCATGCAAGCTGGACATTGAYGCCAGGGGTCTTCTGTTCCCAGCCTCTAAAACAAAAAGGGACAAATAACTCCTACTCAAACATGATGATACCTTAGTGTGGCTGTGAGACGCAGGACCAAGATTGTCACGCTACATCACATGTGTGCACACAAATATATGCACATGAATTAAGGCTCAAGCCAATAGTACCAGCCTTCTAATCTGCAGAGCTTTCTGATTTTAGGTGAGGGAAAAAAATCTTGCCAGTACTTTTGCATCAAAGAGAGATATAAACTTGCTAATTGAAAAATGTTCACATGGAGGAAAATATGGAGATGCCAGCTATGTAAATTAGCATATGCCCAGATCCAAAAGAAATCATGCCAGGCCAGGAGGAAATTAAGCAGATCAGGGGAGTGAGGAAGCAACCTGAGAACAAGTGGAAAGCACTTGGGTGCTTTGGCTTAATCAGAAGGGGCTGTCAAGAGCTGGAAGATGAGAACACTACCAGGAGACCCGGGCCGGTCTGTGGGTGCGGGGCTGGGGGCGTGTCCTCCCACCTGTCGGCTGGCTTTTCACGCTGAATCGGAAAGCATAGATCCTGAAGCCGCTTTCTGCTTGATGCCCCTGGAAGGCCTTTCAGGGGCTCCCAGATAGTGCCGCTTCCGCGCCCTGGACTTCTCTGGTACAGGGATTTCCGGGGTTCATTTGCACATGGAAGTCTCTGCCCTGCTCTAGCAAGACTTGTCCCCGCTGCCGCCTTGTGCTGGAGGATCAGGAGGAGGAGACTGGGCATCCAAGGGACAGCAGTCTGCAGCAGGAGCAAGGACAGCCCACCGGCTGGGATGGGCGCCTCCTGGCGGTGACTGCGTGTGACCAGAGCTCAGCTAGGCTCCCTTTGGCAGGCGCCCCGGGCTGTGTGAGCGCTGGGTGGAGTGAAGATACTTGGAGGAAGGGTCTGTTCTTGATTCCAGACAGTCGGGGGTGCAGAGACAGCTGTCGCGTGTGGCCAATATTGGAGGTGCACAGTCCTGTGACTGGGGGAATTCAGCAGGAGTTCACAGAGGATGATCCCTCCTGTCGTGGGGAGGGTCTTGTGCAAAGGCCCTGAGGCCACCTGCCTGACATGTTGCACCATGGCAGGGGTGGGAGAAAGGAGTCGGGGGGCCGCCAAGGCAGAGGAGACCCCTGAGGGCAGCAGACATCTGGATGCTAGATTTTAGACCTGGTGCTGAGAGCTCAATCTCTGAGGCTGATGGGGGCTTGGGAAAATATTTGGCAGATTTGTCCCAGAGAGAGATCTACCTGTGCCCAATAGTGTCCGGGTGTCCACCTGGCGTCCGGACCAGCAGTCCAGTATCTCCTAGGGCTGTGCACCCTAGACTAGAATGAAACCTGGTAGAGAGAGCCGGTGCCCCTAGCTCCGCCCGGGCGGTGGGACGTGCCGGCTCCGGCGCCACCACCTCAGCCTCGGTTCGCCATTGCATGCAGCGTCGGGAGCCTGGAGCCCGGAGCTGGTGCCCAGTCGTGCGCGCCTCTCCGGTGGTACGCACCGTCCGCGAGAGCCAGAGGCCACCAGCGGCTGCTCCGGAGCCCGCAGGAGGMGAAGGGTTGGGCTGGATCAGCGGGCCCCGGCCAGGCGCGCCCTCGGCCCTCGCCGCCCCGCGCGCCCTCGCCTCCTGGTGCCCACGACTCTCGCCGCTCCGCGCCTTCGGCGCTGGGCACCCCTGCCGGTCTCCGCCGGTCCCCTCCTCCGGGTCCGCGTCTCCACCCCGCGGCCTCGGGGTCCAGGGGTGCGGGGGCGGGGACTGGGGCCAGGCGGGCTGGGGGCGGCGGCGCCAGCGGCCAGCTGGGAGGGGAGGGCGCGGGCAGGGGGAGGGGCTCCCGGCGCGGGGCAGGGGCGGAGCGAGCGGCCGCGCCGCGGAACCAAGTGAGTTGGCTCCGGAGCCCGCGCCGCCGCCGGCCCGCACCTCGGCGCCCGCCGCCCCGCCGCCGCCCGCGCGGGGATGTAGGATGCGGGCGGGCGCCAGGCTCCCGCGGCGGCGGCAGCTGCAGCAGCCACAGCAGCCCCGGCGGCGGCCGCCTCTCCTGTGGCCGATGAACGCGGACCCGCCGCCGCCCTGGGTCTGGATGGTTCCCGGCGCCGCCGGGCTGCTCCGGCTCGGCCCCGGGGTCGCGCCCCCGCCGCTGCTGCTCGCCGCGGCCCAGCCCGCCGCGGCCCCGCTGCTCCCCGGGCTGCCCGGCTGGCCAGCCCCGGGCGAGCCCCTGCTGCCTCTGCTGCCTCTGCCCTCTGCGCCAGACCACGCCGCCGCGCACCACTATCCCCTGCTCCACGGACAGGTAAGACCCAGCCCGCGCGCTCCGCCGCCCGTCCCTCCCGCCCCCGGGCGCGGCCCTCCCGGGCAGGGCGCTCGGGCCCCCGCCTCGCGCTCCCCCTCCCAGGGGTCTTCGCCTCCCAGACCCTCGGGACGCAGCCCGGCCGCCAGCACGGCCACAAAGTTCCAGCTCGACGTCCCGTTCCGCCTCTGGGCAGTTTCCCTTCTTTCTCCCGGGTCTCTGGGCGGAGCGGTTTAGACCCACACCCCAGGCCCGAGTCCGTCCGGCCACAACTTTCGCCCGGGCCCGGGTCGCTGTCCGGCGCGCGGTGCTGAAAGCGGCCGCCGGAGCCCGGCCAGGCAGCCAGCGCCGGGCTGACGCCGCCTCCAAGTTGGTACTTGTACAGTCTCGGGCAGACTTGAAAGGCAGGCTGAGGATCAATAGCCGATTCTGATTCTGGTCGGGTCCCCCTTTCACATAGACCAGGGCAGCGCTGGGGAGAATCGGGACCAGGGGAAGCCAGCAGGGCAAGCCGGCTCGGGCGCCGCSAGCCCACGCTGGTTCCCCTCCTGCCCTAGGCCGGGTCCACAGATTCCCTAATGCCATATTTCACTTCAGGAGAGTTGGGCGTTTAAAGCTGGGAATCAAAAAGTGACTGTGCCTTTGATTAATGGTACCACAGACCAAGGCGGGCAGGTTTTGGCAGGGTCCGTTGTTTGCCATCTAACTATGCAGACGCATGTAAATCAGGGAATAACATGTATTTTATTCCAAAATCGACCTCATTAGCATATTCAAATGAGAGTTACGTTAGAATGCACCTTCTAATTAATTTGTCTTCAATAGTACCTTGTGAGCTTTCCTAAAAGCTGTGGTTAAACTCCTCCTAAACGGTCTTTAATGCTAACTGACACATCACATATGTGGTAYTGGGTATGTATTTGATGTGTGATGCGGTTCATGCTGGGTTTTATTGGATAAATGCTGGTAGCTTTTGCCATATTTCGGAGGGTTGTTGTATCCGAATATCACCACTAGAGGTACATAATGTCAAGGAACTACAGTTTTTCCATATAGAAAACTGCATTTTTTTTCTTTTATAAATTTAAAAAGAAAAATCCAGAAAAACTTAAGTGTTTGTCTTTTAAATATTTTGTGCTATCCATATTCTGTCAAATAACAGTATTTGGAACGAGAGGGATATAGTCAAATATCAGGAAAATAGAAATGCATTATGATTTTACAACAATAGATATTGAACCATTCCCCATCATTGAGCAGTGGAGGCTCTGTGGATCCCCTGAGGAGGACTCCACTAGTTTGCTCAGGGAGACAGTCTCCTCTCCTGTCTGCTCAGTCAGTGTCTGCTGTTTTGTTCTGTGCACTGTGTTCTTCAGTTATGTGATGCTTACATTTTCTTTGCTGTAGGACCTATTTTTATTGACAAATCTTGGGAAACTTTGAATCTTAAATCCTTAGCTATTTTCATTTTGAAAATATTTGCTAAGTGTTTTGTAAATGGTAGATATAATTAACATGACATGCACCGAGAGGAATGTCATAACATAGCTCTGTGCTTGCTTCTGAGACTAATTCAGGGACCCCAGTGGAACAGCCAGCAGCTCTGCCTTTCCCTGTGGCTCTTCCCTGTCTCAGGGTGGGCACGTTTCTTACTGTGTCCTCCGGGTTTCCTACTTAGAAGTTCCCTTTCAGTATTGAAGAGTGCGATGTTGGCAATGCCCTGTGATGCTTCAGATATGAAAACTTGTATACGTTTCTATTTGATTTGTAAACATCTAYAATTTTTCTAGGCTGAGGAAAGAGGGGATTTTTCTTATACTCACATTATGTACATTTGAAAATTTCTTTTTTAAAGCAATTATTCTAACAATTTTTGGTACARGTAGAGTTGGCCAGTGTGGGCTAATGAGTGGTCCCTTGTCTTTTGCTGTTATTACAGTGGCTGATTGGTGGACATTCTCCACCCACAGGACTGTGCCCCTCTTCGACAGTGGAGTTGGTGCCCATTTTCCCACACGTCTGCCCTTCTGCTCTGCCAGCTCGTGTTGGGAGAAGTTGGATAGATAAAAGGATACCTAACTGTAAGGTAAAACGCAAGGGCTCTGCCTGGTCAGGTGGGCTTTTATTTGCTGAGTTGTTGCGTGTTGGTGTAGCAAAGGAAACACCATGTATTTTCTAATTCAATGATGGACCGCGGAGGAATAGAGAGAAATCATTTCGGAATTAGATGGACCTGTTCAAAAAACATCACTGCAGGGGGCATGGGTATTTTACTGTAGCTTGAAGTACTTGGATTCCACACCAAAAATGTAAGATGTTTTAATTGTCTGAATAATGATTTTTTAAAATCTAATTTTAAATTTTTTTCATTTTTAAAATCTATAACCATAGAATGAAATCTAGCATTAGGCATTATATGATGCAAGTTTAAATTGTAAGAGGGAGTTTTTCTTGTTATTACTGCTTTAAGTTTTCATCTTTCTGATGGCTTGTTTTAGCTTTCAAATTCAAATTCTCCCAGTATGTTTTGCTGACCTGAATACTGACAAAGTGATGCATTAACTTGTTCTACACCACCAACTAGTAATCTCATTGGGGTGATTTTCCACCTGCAAACTAGCTGCTGGGTTGAACGGACCAGGCCAGCATGCGAGGACTAGCCCAGGACACTTCAGGCATCCGAGTCCTGCCCTTTAATTTTTAGAATGGTGATTTATAGAGTGTCCAATCAGAATGCCCAGTACTGACCAACATGAGACAACATGAATGTGTGGCCCTTCTCACATGCCTCATGCTCAGTGTTCTGTTTGCATTGTTTCTGGGCAGATTTTTGTGAATAACTCCTTTGCTCTGGACTCCACGTGGATACACCCTGGGGACTCAGGTCTGCTCCACCTGCTGGAGAAGCCTCCTGTGCTGGATCAAGTGGCTCTGACTCTGTCCAGGCCCATTGCTGCCTCCAGGCCTCGTCCTGCTGTGGTGCTAGGGCCTCAGCCAATGCCAGGTGAGTGCCCAAATCACAGTGGCCATGGGTTTCTGTTTCTTTCAGTCATGAGTTGGTATGGAAACTATATTTGTCATTCTAGTGACCCACGTCTCTTATAAATCCTCTCATACTTCATTCATGGTGTGTGTATGTTTTTAAAAATTGATTGAGTCTTGAAAATGCCAGGAACTTTGATTGGGCAAAGGGAAGGGGAGGGGGTATGGGGGCAGGTAAGATGGTGGGAATAAATAAATAAAATTTTAAAAATTGATTGAATCTTGGGGAGCTCACCCAATTTTTTTTTAAGAACGTAGAGTTATTTTTAAGATGAAGAGATGATGGAGGGATTTGCACAGAACGGTATTTGTGGTGCTCTGTTTTTAACATTGGACCATGTTGTCTGTGGAGAGCTCTTAATAGGGGCTCTAATCCATCATCCCACGAATTGGAAAGTGTTGTCCTCTGGGCTGAGGGTGTGCACGGGTGCTTGCTGTCTGAGGGCTCGGGCATGTTCTCTGTAAGTTTTGCCTTCACATTGGGGTGATGGGGGTGATGGGCTATAAATGCCCTGTTGGGAAGATGGATTTTGTTCTATCTTTGGAGTCTAGTGACCTGAAAGAACATTTGTCCTGAAACAGGCTCCATGAAACAATCCCTGGATGAAGGATTGTATAATAAACCCGTATCATAACAGGAGAATAAAATCATCTTATGAATTTTTAAATTGATTTTTAAAATCACCTTAACATATGATCATATTATAAAAGCAAATGCTGCCAATGCCAGAATTGCCTTGCAGCCCCTTCCATTGTGGAATATTTTATGACTTCAGAATTACATTATCTTCCTGTAATTTCCTACCTACCAAGCTTATCTCAATATGTGTCTCTGAAATTTAGTAATAAGGAGATGTTCCTGTGGATAATGCAGTGCTGGTGTGGGAGATATATTTATTTTCTGCTCTGTTTGCCTACAAATTCATTCCAATTTGCGATGAATCTTGTTTAGCAGTGAGTCAGGAAGAACAATGCAACTCTGAGCTTCTCGCAGGACTTGAGGATTCCTGGCTGAACCTTGCCTTGCTCCTTGTGATTGAGCTTTGCTGATTAATCAAAGCCTGACTGAGCATCAAACACTTTGGAGCCCTTTACACTAAGATGATCGTGTTTCCTGTTTAATTTGATGGAGATGAAGGATGACTCAATGGCATGTGTGATACGAGGGTGTGCTGACTGTCAATCACTTTTCTAGCATAGAAGAATAATATTTTAATTTCCTAATGCATTGGCAAGAACTGTCACCAAAACAACCAGCCAGCTTAGTTTAAAACATGGAGCAGGTAAGATGAGTTCCCTGCTCCATCCTGAGTGGACTTCTGCACCGCTACCCATCACTGAAGGTCACATAGACGCTTTCCCAGGTGCTTGCTCCTCTCCCCAGGGACTGAGTCTGTGAATGTGCTGGCCATCCATCTGGTAGGAGCAGCCTATGGTAGCTTTCCACTGATTTTCTGTCATGTGGACTTTGACACTTACTATTATGTAGCGAATATGTAATACTTGATTCAAATAGTATTCATTAATTTTACTTTTTAATTAATCTACTTTAAGGAATACAAAATATTTCTTACTACTGGGTACAGTGGTGCACCCCTATAATCCCAGCAGCTCCAGAGACTGAGGCAGGAGGATCCAGAGTTCAAAGCCAGCCTCAGTAAAAGCGAGGCGTTAAGCAACTCAGTGAGACCCTGTCTCTGAATCAAATACAAAATAGGGCTGGGGTCTATCTCTGTGGTCGAGTGGTCGAGTGGTCGAGTGGTCGAGTGGTCGAGTTCAGTCCCTGATACCTCCCAAGAAATTGCTTACAAACACAATCGGTATTGGAATAACCTCACATACCAACCTCATTTACCGTTTCTCAAACCCACACTTTCCCCACTCCCGTTTCTTGCTCTGCTTTAGACTTAAGAGCAACAACTGAACAGCACACTTACAGCTCTCCTTACCCTATGGGAAGGAGTGCACCTGTCCAAAGCATTTGTTTTGAGTTGAATATATCAGAATTGCTTCACAATTTTCATTTTTTGATAAATTTCTGAATTCTTAGAAGTTATTTGCCTTTGAAAAGCATGGGTTAAATGTCCTTCATCCAAAGGACATTTTTAAGGGGTTGTTTGTGTGCCATTAACTGCTTGACAAAGAGCTTGTATGGGAACCAAATAAAGATGGAAGTTAGGTTAAACTCTAAGCCAGTTAAAAAATCAAAACACATCATTCCAATTTTACTATAGATAGAAATTACACCTCTATTAAATTTACATGTTAATTTTCAGACATTTTATCATTAAAATCCTATTAAATTTCTATATCCTATTGTAAATTGATAAATTTCTTTAATTATAAACAAATCATTATATAACTGTATAAATTAATAAATATATACATTTAAATCTAAATGCAATATAAGTAAAATATAAATATATTTAAAATTTTTTTTAGTTATAGTTGGACACAGTACCTTTATTTTTTAAATTTATTTTTATGTTGTGCCTCGCATGTGCTAGGCGAGTACTCTACCACTGAGCCAAAACCCCAGCCCCGAGATATAAATATATTTTATAATTGATATATTACATTCTTCAATCTTGCTATATACTTTTTTTTTTTTTTTTTTTTTGGTACTAGGGATTGAACCTGGGGCACTTAGCCACTGAACCACATCCCCAGCTCTTTTTATTTTTTATTTTGAGACAGGGTCTTGCTAAGTTGCTTAGGGCCTCCTTCAGTTGCTGAGGCTGCTTTGGACTTGCGATCCTCCTTCCTCGGCTGCCCGAGCCACCTGGATGATCGGTGTGGGCCACTGTGCCTGGCTTTGTTATACATTTTTATGTTCAGAAATAAGGGGCTTTAGAATCAGATGTATTTTATCGATCCCCTTTAAATTAAGAAGCATATTGAAAATTCCCGAGAACTGGGAAAGTGAGTCAAGAGCCTCATCTTAAACAGGCCTCGTGGGTAAGATCTTTTCTCGGTCSACAATAGTTTCTGTGTAATGGTTGTTTTGTAAGCGCTTTAACACAATTTCAGGGATTGAGGCAGTTTAGACCACGGACTCAGCAGTGTACCCCTGGCCACTTGTGTCTGAGTAGGCACGCGTGACCCGAGTTGGAGGTGGCCTTGGGCAGACATGTTGAGTGATCTCTGGGGCTCAGATTACCATTGCGCCCCCTGGTGATGTTGAGTAAGGAGTAACTGCCTGGCATAGGGGCCAGAGAACGTGCKTGTGGCTTGAATGACCCTGGGAGCCATCTGAGATGGGTTAACTAGTACAAAGGACTTCACTGTGCATGCCTACTGGGCTCATCCATGATGACAGTGATGATCATCTGCCTTATGCTCAGATCTAGGAGGGCTGCTGACCCCTGGGGAGAGCTGAGTAGTGACTAGTGGTCATTTTCTCTGTGTTCACCCAGCCCCCTGTCTTCTGGCATCTTCTTAGCGGTCATGGTGTGGGCAGCTGGACTGTCAAGGCTCCTCCCCTSCTCAGCTCGTGCTGCCGTGATGTGGAGGACAGAGCGGCCTGGGTGGCTTAGACGACAGTTACTTCTCACGGTTCTGSAGTCTGGATGTCCTGATGGGGCTCCGTGTGGCTGAGGCAGGAGGGTGGTCTTGCCTGGCCTATGGTGGCTGCCTTCTGTGTCCTGGTTTGTCAGAGGGGACAAGGGGCTCTCTGAGGCTCCTTGTCTAAAGAGTCCCATCATGGACCATGCTCCTAGACCTCCAGTCCCGAGGCCCTCTTCCTGGTGCCGTCACGGGGGTTGGATCTGGGGGCCACCTTCAGGTCTAGCCCTGCTCTGCTGAAGAGCTCAGCAGTAGGTAGCAGCACCTGGCCCATCCCTGCAGGTGTTTGGGGGAGGGCATCCTCAGAGAAGGGCTCCTGGGCTAAGGCCCCTGAGGAGGAGGGGAGGGTGGAAGGCCAAGCCAAGGGAGTGCAAGGTTCAGTCACAAAGGTGTGAGAGGGGAGCCACCAGGCGGACCTGCAGCGGGGTGGCACAGGGAGGAGAGGTGCAGCCAGGGCAGCTGAGCCTGGGTCTCTTCAGGAGACRCTCTCCAGCTCCTCTGGGGCTGTCAAGGGATCCTCATGTCACCTTCCTGCGGAGGACCCCCAGCCCTCCCAGGAAGTATGGAGAAGAGGGAGCCTTGTCACTGACCAGTGAATCCAAACATGCAAAAATACACAGTCTCAGCCGCGTTAGGAACCAAGGTCTGCCATGACAACCTAGTGGCTTTTAAGGAATCGCCTGTGTTACGGCTGCCTCAGACACAGCCAGGGGGGCAGGAGGGAGGCAGCCTCTCAGGGCAGTGCCTCCTCCCGGAGAGCTTCACTTGCCGCCGGCTTCGGTTCCTCCTGCTCCCTGTGTGCACGTGGACACAGGGTGACTCACAGGCGCAGCAGAGCCAGGGTGGCGGCGCTCCCAGGGGCTCTGTAGTCCACTCCCAGAACGAGAACTTCAGAGCCCTGAGTTCCTCAGAAATAGAGCTACTTAGGCGGAGAGTGTGGGGCGGGGAGGAGACCCCCCTCCACTCTGCCCAGTGAGACCCTGGAGCAGAGTCCCGCTGGGAACCCGGGACTCCTGGGAAAGTCGCCTGGGGGACACTGTGCGTCACTGAAGACCTAAGGGCTCACTGGCTCAAAGGTGAGTCAAGAGAGGCAGGGAGAAGGTGGAGCCGAGGAGGGCTCAGCCAGCGCAGGGCAGGCACTCCACGAGGAGAGGAAGGCAGGTCTGAACAGGACCGAGGAAAGTTAGTATCAATCTACTTTTATTTGCCTTAACAGGCAAAAGGAAATGAATAAATAAAAGACCATAGAAAAGCAGTAAAAGATGACTGATCAGTAAAAATCAATGATTAAGTGGGAGCTGCCCATCTGAAAAGATGATCTGAAGCAATTGGAAAAGAATGCAAGGAAACTTCCGGAAACTAGCAATTAGAATATTCACAGAGAAGGACTAATTGTGA